TTTTGTGGTGTCCCTCTCTGATTTTGGGGTGTCCCCCCCTCTCCCCCCGCAGCTGGAGATCTTCCACCTGGTGATGTACCGGAACTACCAGCGCAAGAACGACATGGACGAGCCGCCCCCCCTGGATTACGGCTCGGGGGACGACGACCCCAAGAGCGAGAAGAGGGGGGGCGCGGGGGGGGACCCCCTTTTCGGGGGGATGGAGGAGCGATTCTACCGCTACGGCATCAAACCCGAGTGGATGACGGTGCACCGCATCATCAACCACAGGTGGGGACCCCAGAGACCCCAAAATCACACCCAGAGACCCCCCAGATCACCCCAGAGACCCCCCAGATCACCCCAGAGACCCCCCAAATCACCCCAGAGACCCCCCAGATCACCCCAGAGACCCCCCAAATCACCCCAGAGACCCCCCAAATCACCCCAGAGACCCCCCAAATCACCCCCAAATTCCCAGGGGATTTTGGGGGTTTGGGAGGGGATGGAGGGAGTGTCTGGGAGGGGATGTTGGGGACAGCCCTGGCACCTGTGGGGACATTCTGGGCACCTGTGGGGACATTCTGGACACCCCTGGGGACATTCTGGGCACCCCTGGGGACATTCTGGGCACCTGTAGGTCCTCAGCACCCTCTGGGATGGTCAGACACTGTCCCCAGGTGACCCTGTGTGACCCCTCTGTCCCCGAGTGTCCCCTCTGTGTGTCCCTGTCCCCAGCTGACCCCGTGTCCTGTGTGTCACCCTGTCCAAGTGACCCCACGTCCCCTCCGTGTCCTCACGTGACCCCCCTGTCCTGTCCGTGTGTCCCTGTCCCTGGGTGACCCTGTGACCTCGGGTGGCCCCGTGTCCCCTCCGTGTCCCCAGGTGACCCCCGTGCCGGGGTGTCCCCGTGTCCCTGGTGGCAGCCGCTGGTTCCGGTGACATCGGGTGACCCCTGGTGGCACTTGTGTCCCTTGCACGTCCCCTGCTGTCACCTGGGCCCCGGTGGCACGTGGCAGCCCTTGCCTGGCCCCACGGCAGCCCTGGCTGTCCCTGTGTCCCCAGGGCTCCCTGGTGTCACCCCTGGCTGTCCCTGTGTCCCCAGAGGTCCCTGGTGTCACCCCTGGCTGTCCCTGTGTCCCCAGAGGTCCCTGGTGTCACCCCTGGCTGTCCCTGTGTCCCCAGGAGTCCCTGGTGACACCCTTGGCTGTCCCTGTGTCCCCAGGGCTCCCTGGTGTCACCCCTGGCTGTCCCTGTGTCCCCAGGGGTCCCTGGTGACACCCCTGGCTGTCCCTGTGTCCCCAGGAGTCCCTGGTGACACCCTTGGCTGTCCCTGTGTCCCCAGGGCTCCCTGGTGTCACCCCTGGCTGTCCCTGTGTCCCCAGGGGTCCCTGGTGACACCCCTGGCTGTCCCTGTGTCCCCAGGAGTCCCTGGTGTCACCCCTGGCTGTCCCTGTGTCCCCAGAGGTCCCTGGTGTCACCCCTGGCTGTCCCTGTGTCCCCAGGGCTCCCTGGTGTCACCCGTGGCTGCCCTGGCTGTCCCTGTGTCCCCAGGGTCCCTGGTGTCACCCTTGGCTGTCCCTGTGTCCCCAGGGTCCCTGGTGTCACCTGTGGCTGCCCTGGCTGTCCCTGTGTCCCCAGGGCTCCCTGGTGTCACCTGTGGCTGCCCTGGCTGTCCCTGTGTCCCCAGGGCTCCCTGGTGTCACCCCTGGCTGTCCCTGTGTCCCCAGGTGTCCCTGGGAATGCTCAGTGTCCCCGTGGGTGGCCGCTGTCACCCGTGGTGCCCCATGGCCCCCATTGTCCCCCCCTGGGTGCCCACTGTCCCTTATTGTCCCCACTGTCCCTGTTGTCCCCCCCTGGGTGCCCACTGTCCCTTATTGTCCCCACTGTCCCTGTTGTCCCCCCCTGGGTGCCCACTGTCCCTTATTGTCCCCAGCGTGGACAGGAAGGGGCAGTACCATTACCTGGTGAAGTGGCGGGACCTGCCCTACGATCAGGCCACCTGGGAGGAGGATGAGATGCCCATCCCTGACTACGACCTGCACAAGCTGGCCTACTGGAAACACCGGTGAGGGGACACTGGGGACACTGGGGGGACACTGGGACACTGGGACATGCCTACTGGAAACACCGGTGAGGGGACACTGGGGACACTGGGGGGACACTGGGACACTGGGACATGCCTACTGGAAACACCGGTGAGGGGACACTGGGGACACTGGGGGGA